GGTTTTAGTTTCTCTTTCAGACATTTTGAATGTGCAGAATTCCTTAAATTCTACAGTAACTTTACGCACATGGACGTCAGTCACCAACCAGTTTGCAGCTGCCGCCGGGACCAAACAAGCCAATCGGAGAGCAGGATGCTGCTCTTGATGCTCCGGAGTGCGCCTGTCCACCTGTCCACCGGTCTGTCCCTCTGGTGTCCCACATTTTCTAATGGGCTTCTGTGTTGTGCAGGTTCAGTGTCCCAGTGGACCACCTGTCTGTCTACCTGTCTGTCACGTTTGGATCGAGCAGTCAGACTCGTCAGAGGAAACAAGCAGGAACCTCTCACACAAACAAAAGCCCTGAAAGGTCAAAGGTCTACACGTTTTTTGTGCTGTTCTGGAGCAAAGACGAATAGACATAATACATACGGATAAGTCCCAAAATGTATCTTTTTCATTTACAAGGGCCCTTATGAATGAATAATTGAACAAAAGGCGGAGGAAGAGGAACAGAGACGGATCATTCGTTTCCTCATAAGGATTATTATCGTCACAATGTCTCTGAAAAACCAGAAAACAAGTAAATAAGCTTTTTACTGAATTTTACAGTGCAGCTTCTGTGTCTCAAATTTAGAAGTCAGGAAAAATGATGCTTCAGATGATGGTTGGCTCATTTTAAAGTTACTTCTATATGGCATCCGCACATTCCATTCCTTTGCAGATTGAACTCTTAACAATTATGTGATGAAACGATGAAAAGGAGGAAAACATTTTTTGCTTGAAGTGAATAAAAATGGACAGTGTCTCGATAGTCGACATCTTTGATTTCTGTAGTCGCATTATTTAAGTTTAGTTTTATATTGCAAGCGTCTGATTGGTAAAGATAACCAAGTAAATAATCAATAGTTTGATTGCTTTGACAGCAGATTAAAGTGACGTCACCCAGACAGAAAAAAACAACATATTTCATGTTCATGTTTCTTTTTTATGTCCTTCAAAACAGGAAAAATTATAACCTTCCTCTTTGGTAATTCGTTCTCCATTAAGCAGTTTTTAAATTAAACATTTACAAAATTCAAAATAAAAACTAAATATGACAGTTTCAAATCATAAATATTCTGCTTTCAATAATCCTCTGCATGTGTGAGGCAAATGCAACGACCCCCTCAGAGGTAACAGACCTGAGCGACGTTTTACAATTCAAGGTTTCACATTTTCTTTCATTCTATTTAGTATAAAGTGCTTTTCCTTTACAATTCATTCGCTCTCACCATTGGATGATCAGATATTAGACACAAAAAGCACCGTGGGAAAACAAAACTAAGTTGAAAGAATAAATCCAGGCACTTTTTGGACCGAGGGGAGAAACATTATTTGTGCTGCGAAGGTCACGGTGAGGCGAGCGAGCCGAGGCCGTCCGCCTCTCCCCCGCTCCTCTCCTCCCTTCCGTCTCCGCCCCTCTTTGACGTGGTCTTCAGCTGCTTGTCGCGCCGCTCGTCCTCCGGCGGCTCCGGGCCGCCGGGCCTCTTCTCCTTCTTGTGCTGCTTTCCTTTGGCGCCGCTCTCTTCTCTCCCGTCCTCCTCGCCCTTCTCCTGGCTCGCCGATGAGCTGTGGCTGCTCGGCCTCTCGCCTTCCTCCAGCTCCCTGGCCGCCTCCCACCTGGTCCGTCCGTCCGCTCCCCGGCCCTCCCGCCGGCCGCCTCCCGCCCTCCCGTCCCGCGGCTCTTTCTGGACCCGCCTCGGCTCACGCGGCTCCTCGTCCCCGCCTCTGTTGTGCAGTGATCCCGGATCGATGGTTCTGGGCTCTGACCCGCAGGGGGGCGCGTCTCTTCCTCGACTCCGGCTGCGAGGGAGGGCAGGCGGGGAGGGGTCTGTCTGGGGGGTCTTTAGACACCAACGTGTCTCTGCATGATCTGTGGGGATTCTGATCGGCCAGCTCGGGAGCTCTGCTCATCGCGCCGCTCTCCCGGCTCCTGCCAGGCGGGAACTTCCTGCCGGGACGAGGCGAGCTCCTGGCATCGCCCGGGTCGCCCCCTCGCTGCCAGCCTCCCCTCTCGGTGTCATGTGACCTCGACCGGGAGGAGGAGGAGGAAGGGAGATCCCTCTTTTGGGCCGAGACGCTGGCGTGCTTCCGCTCTCTCTCCCGGCCCCTCCCCCTGTCTTCGTCCCTCGCCCGCTCTGTCGATCTTCTGCTCTCTCTCTGCCCTCCCCCTGGTCTCTCGCCCTCCCTCCCTCTGTCTCTGTCCCTCCGTCTCTCCCGGTCTCTGTCTGAATGCACCGTGCTGTCCTTTCTGTCTCTGCCGCCGGAGGGAGCCCCACTTCGGTGTGAACTGGACCAAACGGGGGTTTTCTGGATTTCTCTTCCTCTCTCCGTCTCTCTCTTTTCTTCGTCGTCTCTCTCCCTGTTGGCAGTCGTCTGTGATGTCACACGAACGGAGGACGGCGGGAGAACCAATGACGGAGCCTCCGTTTGAGCTTTGGCCGCTCCTTCGACCCGCTCGTCTTCCTCCGGCTCTCCCTTGTCGACCTTGTGAGCGACCTGAGACACAGGAGAAAACATTAAACACGACTGTCTTATTATAGAATATCCACATTAGATGTTTCCTGACCGTCACCTTTATGAGCTCGTCCTCCTGGTCGGCAGCTCTGTCCTCGCCGCCTTCCTCCAGAGCTTTCACCTCCTCCTCCTCCTCCCCCCGACCCCGAGGATCCCCGTGGCCGCTGTGTTCAACATAAACACCATGAGATGGAATTAAAGACAAGTGGAAGGCGTCTAAAAGAAGGCGAGGAGGTTTATATGAACTATTCTCTGAATGATGCGCTGAGACAATACGGACTAACATGCTAATTGTGTCATATTTCATCATTATTATTACACGTGAAGCAGAAGCTGTCTGACCTGCCGTCCTCCCTCGGGGGCTTCGCTCCGTCTTGGTGGATCTCGCTGATGCTGCTCTGGCACTTGGACCTGTATTCGTCCTCCTTGTCCTCCCACATCCTCCACTCTCCTCCCTCCATCGGGACGTCCTTTGACTCCCCCGGCGAGTTTCCCTTGTTCTCCGCCAATGTGCTTTCTCCCGTCGCCGGTCCTGCATCTCCTCCCCTCACGCTCCTGGTGTTCCTCACCTCTCCCCCTTTGCTGGCCTCCGTCCCGTCTCCTTCGTCCCACAGCAGTTGACCCTGTTCGGTTGTCTCCTCCGCTCTGAGGGCGGGAGTCGCCGTTTTCTCCAACGTCGCTCCCTTATCATCCCTGAAGGTAGCTTTCTCCCATTTCTGTCTTGCTTCTTCATTTGGTTGGACGTTTTCTTCAGACAGACCTTCCACTTCTCTGCTGGACTCGGTCTTCTCATTTGCCTCAGTGTCTGTGTCTCCGTTTGACTTCTCCTTCTGTCCTGCCTCCTTGACTTCTTCCTTCGCGTTGTCGAAATAAGAAAACGGCTGCTTTTCAGTTTTCTCTTCGCTCCGCTTTCCTTCGAGGTTAATGTTGATGCTTATCTTCTTCTGTGGTTTCACACTTATCCCCCCCTCCCAGACGTCTCTCTCCGTCAGAGGCAAAGCTTTCCTCTCTTTCTTCTGCTCCGCTTTTGGCGTCTTCTTGTCAAGTGGATTCAGGGATTCACTCCTGCGGCTTTTGGGTTCCTCTGCGGTGTTCGTTTTCAAGCATTTGCTGTTTTCCGCCCTGAGAGAACTTCTCTCTCTCTCTTCTCCTTTTCTTTTCCTACTCCGGTGTGATCTCGAGTCGGTGCTGCCGGTTGGCGGTCTGTCAGTGCGCCGCGTGTCCGTCTCTTTGTGCCTCCTCCCCACATCCTGCCTGGAGTCGGAATGTTTGCCTCGTCTCCGTCCTTTCTCCACTTCCACGTGCCTGTGTTCTCTGCGTCTTCTCTCATACTCTTTATCCCGGCGTCTCTCTGGTTGGGCGAGTGGCCGGGCAGGTTCCAAGGCATCGCCGGTAGTCCGTTCGTCCCGCGCAGGAGCGCCGTCCCTGAAGGCTTTTGGTCCGGCGCCGCGCCTCCTCCGGTCCTCCCTGCAGTCATCCGCCGAGTCAGCAGCATCGAGGGACGAGGACTCTTCGTCTCCTCCTTCGGCGCGTTTCTTCTTTGGCTGCTGTTTTAAGGTGCCGAGTCTCCCCAAAGCTTTCACGTCTTCGTGCTTCTCGTCCTCCCCGCTCTTTGTGACCGGCGGGCCGGCGCAGCTCCCGGCGCCGCTCTGTGCCCTCGGCTGAACACCCCCTTTGGACGGTGTGGAGCGCCGGTCGCTGGACGACCGAGACGGCGAGGACAGGCTCCCGGACGAACAAGACGGAGACGAGTGGCTGTCGCTGGACGACTGAGACAGCGTGGAGCGGCTGTCCCTCGAGGAGCGCGATGGAGGGGAGCGGCTGTCGCTGGAGGAGCGCGATGGCGGCGAGCGGCCCTCCGTCCGAGCGGCGCGTCGTCCGCGGCGTCGGCCGCCATAGTCAGAGCGGTTTGCGCTTCCTTCCCCGTCCTCCCACTGGGGGGGAGGGGGGATATTGAGGAGGGGAAGCGGCAGCTGGTGGAAGTGGCCGACGTAGCTACTGAAATACTTATCACACCACTCTTTGTACTCGCGGCTCCACCGCAGGTAGCGCTCTCTGTCCAGGCCGCCACTCGGATTGGCGTGCTGAGCGTACAGGTGTCCAGGTAAGCTCCCCCCCGAGGCTCCCGCCTCCCTCTCGTCATCCTCCCCTCGCCTCCTGGAGGCGGAGCCGCTGCCGCCGCCGCCGCCCGAAGCGGATTTCTTACCGTGGTGGCGACTGTGGTGGCCGCTTCTTTGGCGGGGGTCCGCCGGCGACTTGTGCCTGGAGCGGTAGCCGCCTCGCGGCGAGGACGAGGAGGACGGCGTGGGGGAACGTTTGTAACCAAAGCTGTAGGAGCGGGAGGAGTGAGAGCGGCTGTGCAGGTCTTTGTGGCGCGAGGGCGGCCTGGGGAACAAGAGAAGAGCATTTCTTTGAGTAGAGAGAGAGAGAGCGCGAGGAACTGTGGAGCATCCAGAAGAAATCACAAGGAATCTGTGTCGATGTTCTACGTTCTATTTGAAATGACTAGCGGCTGATTCAGTTTCAGATGAATGTCGGCATCAACAAATGTAAGAAGGAGGTTATGGAATAGAAATAACACAAAAGCATTCTGAGAACACTTAAATACCTTGATCGGCCGTGGGACCGAGACCGGGACCTGGACCTGCTCGAAGAGCGAGAAGGCTTGAACTTTGAGGACTTTGGATCCGATCGGGAGGAGGAGCGCCTGCTGGAGGATTCTCTGTGAGGGGACCTGAGTGACGGAGTGTTTCATATTACTATCAACATATCGTCCTCATACTCTGCAGCTGATTCAAAACGCCAGGACACATGATGTAAGACGTGGTCACCCTCGTGGTGGGGGGGGGGGGCTTACCTTTCCTTCTTCGTCTGATGCCGGTACCACTCCTTGGGGATGAGGGCCGGTATGGCGGTAGAGGGGCACAGGGAAGGGATGGGGGCCCCCTGGAGGTTTGGCAGTGTCCAAAGGGGCGTAGGGGGGGGGTATCCAGGGGGGAAACCGCTGAGAGGCTGCTGGGCGGCCAGGAATGTGTGGAAATGAGGCGGCGGGAAGAGAGGAGGAGGAGGAGTCGCCGGATAGGGGGAGAAAGAGGGACGAAGCTGCTGGAGGCCGGACTCACTCCAGCCTCCAGTGGGACAGAGGGGGGAGGAGGAGGAGGAGCTGCAGGGGGCACAGGGAGGAAGAGGAGAATACATCACTCTGGACACGGCGTGCAGAGACGAGAATCACAACACAAAGACCTTCACCGACCTTTCCCAGCACGTCGATGGCGCCGAGCGCTTGGGGGCGGGACCTGTGGGTTCAGGGAACACATCGGTTTTATTTGCGTTGTTGATGTTCCCGCAGCTCTCGACGTAATATTAAATGAATGACTCTTTTGTTCAGCTACGATGGCAGAGCGAAGGAAGCGAGGGGGCGCTGCTGCTCACCTGAGGGGGGCTGCTCGAGATCCACGCCGGCCGCCTGCGGCTCCTCCGCCAGCGGAGTCAGGTTCACCTGAGCAGCAGCAAACACAGGCTTCATACAGGGACTGCAATGTGTCGGTGTGTGTGTGCGCATGTGGGTCTGTGTGCGTGTGCTCACCAGGGGGATCAGCTGTGAAGGGGCATCGGTGGGGGGCTTTGGGGACGGAGCAGCAGCGTCGTCGTCGTCGTTTGTCTTCTCTTCAGCCTCTCTGAATGGACAACACAAACATCTCATGAACGCACAGCACAACTTTTACAACTATTCGTGTTTAAATAAAAACAACAAACACAAAACTGACCAACTGCACAGTGAGTAACCTTCTACACTTAGCTGCCGCCATTCTGGGTAAAATACGGCTTTTTGTCTTCTCGTAATATGCATCTGATTTTGTAATCCTTCAGACTTGCAGGCACCAGTGGTTACCGTGGTGACAGTAGGTGCGAATTAAAGTAGCAGCAAACTCTCCTTTGAGCATCTGCTTTGTCAGAAAGCCGACAGAAGGAGATTGCGACTCCAGAATGTTGAGGGAACACAACAATACTCCACGAGTCACAAGGGAACAGGCGAGGCCACACAGGCATTTCACGTGCGTGCGTACCTGTCGGGTTCCTCCGGCTGGATTTGCTCAGGCTGGAGGTCAGTGCTCGGTGTGGTGGGGGAAGAGGCGGGGCTTGTAGCTGCGGGCGGAGCCGCACACACCTGAGGCGGTGGCGACGTGTCTGCAGCCTGTGAGCGGAGAGGGTCCTAAAGAAGAAAGACAGTAAGAAACGGATGGACTCTTATATAGATATGCATGGAACACACCACACAATCAACGTTAGTGTCACTATGAAGTAATGTTTAAAACTATTCTAGTCCAGTAAGATAACTACTTGAGACCAGCCATCGAATTGTGAAAAGAAAACAGTAATTATTGTGTTTGCCGCTGAGTCACGCAGCTGCAGCGCAGCTTATTTCTGCATCCAAAGATGAAACGCATCATCAAGAGAATTACCTGCTGGGTCGACAGATGAGGCTTCTGCGGTTGGCTCGGCACACCGAGGTGGGGCGCGGTGGGGACAGGGCTCGCTGCCGGGGTTGGATTTTGGGATTGGGAGGCGCCGCACCCTCTTGCCAGACTTTTAGTGTAGCCTCGCTCTTTCTTAAAGGTCTCCACAGCCTGGCAGTGATGAGTCACAAACCAACCTTCAAACAACATTCACTTAATTATCCCGATTCCCCTCCAACCCTGACATCCATGTACTTTCAGTTCACCTGTCGGAGAAACTTATTTGCTATCAGCGTATCAGGAGAGACATCCAATTGGCGACAAGTGGGGCAGACGTGGTCCTCTGAGTCCAGCAGAGCACTGCGGATACCTGGGCAAGAGATGAAGATGGATGAAATGTGAGTATACGGAACCACCAATCTGGATACGTGTGTGTGTGTGTGTGTGTGTGTGTGCGTGTGCGCGTGTGCGACTCACAGTCGTCACAGTAGCTGTTTCCACAGCAGGGTATGACCACAGCGTCGCTCATCAGGTCGTGACAGATCCCACACAGGAGTTCCTCGGGCACCGGCTCCTCCTCCTCTTCTGACTTGGGCTGCTCCTGGGCAACGAAGGGAGGCCTCTCCTTCTTGCCGATGGCGTACGCCGCGCTGCGGACGGAGAGTCGGGGAAACGCCGCCAGTTCACTTTAGTTTTTATGTTTTTTTTTTTTTTTTTTTAAGAAGAGGGACTTCAAAAGGAGCGTCAGAGGCCAAACTGTCTGTTGGAAACGAATCTTCATAAGTCTTCATGAAACTTGCTGGCTGTGCTTATGAAGATTCCGTTGCCTAGGCAACCGGGTACCTACAAGGATCCCATCCAAGAGGAAGATCTCCTGATTCATCTCTCCCGCCTGGCTCAGTGCTCCGTGAGGCCAATACATGTGCTATGAATGTAAAACGTGGAACCTTAAAGAACTCTCGGTGGGGGGAGAACGACTACTTTGTGTCTGTTAACCCCATAGTCTAAACGCACACAGACACACAAACCCTGCTTGCTCTCACATGTCGATGGAAGGAATGGCGTAGCGTCCACAGTTGGTCAGCATGGCGCCCTTCGTGTTGGGATCGTCCACCTCCACCATGAAGGAACGAGGGATGCCGGTGCTTTTCTTGATTCTCGCCGGGGCATCACAGTTCTTATCCTGCTCCACACACACACACCACATCAAAAAGACACAAATAACGCACACGGGATAGCAGAACGGTTGAGACACGCACTAATCGGATCATCTTCTTGGCACAGAGCGCCTGTGCTGCTGTGCTCTTACCCCGATGATGGGACAGTCCCTGATGTGGTGTCCGGTGTTTCCACAGCGATAACAGGTGTAGTTGGCAGGAAGTACAGTACCAAACTTCTTGTTGTAACTAGTGAGAGAGACACACAAACACAATGAGACGAGGACAGATGAGAAAGAAACGTACAGAAAAAAGAACAGAATGACAGAACGATGGAAAATAAAGGATTATGGAGAACGGTAATGGAAGGGGAGAGAAAAGGGAGGAGATATGAAATGATTAGAAGGGGACTCACTTCATGGCGTCGTAGGTAGACTGATTAATCATAACTTTAATCTTATCTTCCTCTGACCCATCTACATCAGCCAGGTTAGCCATCTACACACACACACACACACACACACACACACAGGGATCAGTAGCTAATCAAAACGGACTCACATGGTCCAGTAAAGATTTAGAAAAAGAAGCTCGTACCTTTGAGAAAAGGGGCAAAGCCCTGGAAGAACTCTGGTCCTCCATCTGTCAGAATTAAACACATGATCAGTTTCACTACGAGACCCTCCGGCCAGAAAAACACCACACAGCATAAAAGTAAATAAAGTGATGTTCATATCGATCGGTGAAGAAAAACAAAACAAAAAGTTCCAAAGTTCTGTTGATACTTGTGCTGGTAAAAGCTCAGGACCATTGGGGGGCCTCCCATGTCACACGGGGGGAGGAGAGGGGGGGGTTAAGTCATAACGATCATCCTTGTTCTTTATAGAACTCCTAATGTCCACCTCAGTACCTCGACCAACTAAAAGGAGACGCTGTTTCTGCTCAGCTGCTCCTGGTTTATTCCCGTACTTTTCTGGAATAGATGATAAAACCAAAGTGACAGACGGGTCTTCTGCGGATGGAAAGGTTCAGTCCAGACTAAAGTAGCTGTTGCACTGCGAATCACCGTTGAACATTGCACAACAATGGTCCACTCACATTTCTGACAAAGTTGTTTTTTCAAAACTTACAAAAAGCCAAATATTCACACTCCAACATATGATCATCAACATTATGCACTTTTACGCGTCGGTTTGCCACTAAATGCGTGGAGGAGACTGGCCGCACCATTTTATATCATATATATTATTCATGTGGACTCGTTAAGGCTCAGTGGAAAAAAAAAAATGTTGATCCATAACAAAAAAGTCAGTCAGCATCTCTCCTCTGCTGCGGGATTCTAACGATTGAAACATTGGAGAACAAAATGATTGTTTTTAATCGTCTTTGTGGCAAAACGAAAATGTGAAAACAAGATTTTAACGTTGAATTGGAAATTTGCAACGGTGACCGACACCAACAGAGCGACTGTCACCCTCCTGAAGTCAAACGTAATCAATACATCAGACGGCTTCATACAAACACCTTTATTGGCAGAAAAGACACAAAAAGGTTTGAGCAGTAAGAAAAGACTCAAAGCACTGAAAAGAGTGGAAGACACTTGTGCTGCTGAGGAAGCAGAGAGACAATAAGGTGAGTGGACACTAATTCAAAGCTTCTGAGATGTTTAAATAAACTTCATGACTGCAGAAACACAGCATGAAATTAAAAAGGTTTCCATTTATTCCAGCCGGACTTATGAAACCTCTCCTGTTTCATGGCAGTTTACATTTATTCCTTTAATGTGTTAGACGAGATTGTTGTTAATAGTAGATTGATTTTTGCTTGACGACTTGAGCCCAGATTAAGATCCAATATATTAAATTAAAACGCCTTTCGACGTAACCTTTTTTTTTTTTAAAAGCACAAGTCCAGAGCATCAGCGGGGAGGAGACGGCCGGCAGCTTGTGAAACAACGGTTCAGTTTTTATCAGCAGGGAATAGCTGCGAGATAACGTGCGACCCGCCTGAGCAGCTCCTGTCACACCCAGAGACAAAGTGATCCTCTGGGGACACGGCGGCGGGGGACACGGCGGCGGGGGACACGGCGGCAGGCTAAATTAACAGCACGAGGCCTTCAACAATAAACACAAATGTGTGTTCCTTTAGGGTTAACAGAACAGCACTGGGTATTAGTAAACTTCACATGTACTAAACTACTAATATCTCATATAATATCTACCATTATCAGATGTATATTAGAGAAGCAGCTTCCCGTTAATGAAATCAGGAGAAGTGCACCGCTTCCTCTTTACAGCAGGAACTCAAGACTGCAGTAGAGGAAATGGAAGCGTTCATTTCATTTATTGGAAGCGATCTCGCCAGAGCACACGCTGAGCTCGCGTTAAAGGCGGGATAGTGAGTCGTGTTAGGATGTGCATCTGCGCGTGTGTGCGTTGGAGCTGCGGTGGGATTTGCTTTGGTTACGTACTGCTCTGTAGGCTCCAAAGGCTTGGTGAGTCTGGCCATCTGATCGCTCACTGAAACAGAAAAAAAAGAGTCACATTTTTCTTCTTACCTTTCACAATAAAAGCCTGTGACATCATTCTTCGCATGGCAAGTATTTTTTAATTTTAGTGCAATTTGTTTGTCGGGCCCCTGATGTGTAAAGGCTATCGCGCTGCCTTTGTCGAGGTCTATGGGGTGTTTCAAGTTTGAACGATTGGGTCTCCTTTTTCTTGTTGATTCCTAAAAACAAGTTGATCTCAGCCAGCGAGGCGCTGCGTCGATGCACCGCGACTCAGAAAATCAACCTGGTCGCAGAAGCAAATTAAGGCACTTTTGCATTCACATTTCGTGTAAAGGTATTGATGAAAAAGAAAACTGTTCAAAACACAGAAAAGACTGATGTTTAAAGTGGGTGTTGTAAAAGCTCAACATTTAAGTTAACAAGACAATAACAAACACTGCAACCGACAATAAAAGTGACCTCTGGATGACAAACCCATCACTCGCTGTGTGAAGTTTAACATTTGATGTGAAGTCTAGACCTTCAAAATGAAGCACAGTGACGCCTGTCTGCTTGTGAGCAGGTGGAGAATTGATCTGGGCAGCACCCCTCCCCCCTGTTTGCATGGTGCTGACGGGGCTAATCACGTGAGGTTTTCCTGCCTCCCCAGCATAAAACCCACACCCCCGCTGGTTGTCCCGTCTAAGCCTGACTCATATCTGGGTAATCCCCCCCCGAGCGTCACTATGGAGTTTCACTTCTGCGGTTTTCTCTTCTTCTGCACATTCTAGAAGCGGAGGTGGGGGGTTGCAAAACACCGTCGACCATTAAAAGAAAAGTTTTTGTGTTGATTCATTGAGAGGTTTATGTTGTTGCTTACTTACTCATAACCCTCAACCACGTTGTTGCCATATATAAAATGATATTATGTAAACCTACGACCACACGTTTAACACTAATAAGAGCTTAGGGTGGATATTCAAAGATATAAGATTGAAATTAGACGCGTAGATTTTAGCCAATAATTAAGAAATAGGTCTTTGTTTGGAATAGTTTCCTTTTATTGTGCTGATGACTGGAGTTCATTTACATCTTTGGATTCACGTTGGGAGTCCTCGAAGAGCGACGACGCAGCACTTACCGTGGCCTCGTGGGAGAGGGGGGGACATCGACACGAGGAACAGTTCGGGAATTCAGCTACGGAATCACTTACACGTGGCGGGTCTTGCTGGAGCTGGGCTTCGACCCGACGACCGGGATCCTCCTGACGATGACGGAGGAGCCTTTGGGGATCGAACACTCGTCGTCTTTGTACTCTGAGAGGGAGAGATGGACAGAGTGAGAGTTTGCGCGGTCTTAAGGATCAGCTTAATATGAATGAGGAGAATACATCTCTCCGCTTCAGGGTCCTGAGTAGAAGAAAGTCGTGACTTGGCACTTATTTCCTCTGTCAATTAATCTGCAAACGAGGCTCCTGATTCAGGGCTTGATGTCATAAAAATGTGCTAAATTTGACAAAAGCGCGTAGATCATTTCCGATGAGACACAAAATGCGTTGGAAGTGATCATTCACGTTTGGATCCTTCGTCGTGGTCTTCAGAGAACCTCAATCTGAGTGACCGTTAGACTGATTGATACACTGCTGGCGTTTTACTGCGATCTTTGGTTCAACTTTCTGCAGTGGAACGTCACAGACCGGACGGATTGTGGCTTCTGTGGGAATAACTCAGCATTTGTTGGCTGGCTGCAGGATTTAACGCACCGTCACGATCACTCGCTTTGTTTTCTGCACCCTTTTAATTTAGTGACTACATGACGCGTCGCTTTACCGACATCGCCGATGACTCACGTGTTGATGATTTTCGCAACAGTGTCAAAGCTGAGTCAGGCTGGACTCAGTGAATCTTATGGTCACGACTCCGGCTCCCAGCCTGACCTTTGCTATTTATAACCCCGCGTCCGTGTTTAGACCCTTTGCTTTCTCCGCGCGCAGCCCAACGACGTGACGCAGTCTGTCAAACACGCACCACGTGCTTCTCTTCTTTCCTGCTTCTTCTTCCACCAAAGTTTTTTGTTTGTTTTAAAAGCACACACGCGTGTCCCTCACCTTCTTTGCTCTGCGCGTTGGTGATCTGCAGGTCGCAGTCGCCGGCTCGCAGCTTCTCCCTGCCCATGATCTGCCGCTTCAGCTCCCGCAGCGTGACGTGCGGGCCGTCGAACACCACCGTGTCGTAGCTGAGTTTGGAGGAGAATTTGTAGTGAACATGAGTCATGTTGAAATGGGAAGAAAGAAAAGAAAAGAAAAGAAAAAAACCCTCGCCCCCCCTCCGGCCCCCCTTGCTTTCGCTGCCAGGTAGCCGACAGGTGCGCGGACCACCTGTGTCGCGGTCGGTCGCTACGAGCGCACGACGTTTGGGCTCAACGGTCGCGTAGCTGTCGTTAGCCGGCTGTGGCTAACAAGCTAGCTCGAGTCGCGAGTTAAAACAACAACCGCCGCGGATAATGTGGCGTTTCGCCGGCTGACATTTCCCGGCGTCTGGCGGAGCAGCCGCGGCGACTTAAACCAAAGCGCGCTCAGTCAGTGACGAGTCTAATTTGAACTTTTTTTTATTATTATTTTTTAAATTAAATTGTTATGCCAACGCCGCGACCGAGCCCGAAGTGTTCGCTGACAGAAACCACCGGCAGCTGTTTCCACGAGCAACGGCTCGTCAGCACAGCTGCGTTCAAGTGCGCCTCCGACATCTCGCACCTCTCACTATCAGAAGTTGTTAACGCAACATTGCGAAACGCGTTCACTCCACTTAGTGTCTAGTGCTGTTTTACAGTTGTTGTTGTTGTTGTTGTTGTTGTTATACACGTTGCTTTTCTTTCTACGCATTTAAAAAAAAGATTTTAATGGAAAGGCAGAGCGTGAGAACTAAATGTTTCAGAAAAGAAGGCGCACTACATCAAACTTTCAGCTTGCAAATCATGGTGAAAAATGATATAAACTGTGTCATCTAAGTGGGGGGGAAACACTATATGCATGATTACATTTGTTTAAAATAAGACATGTCTATCTTCGTGGTTGTTATTTAGGATTTAGACATTTACAGATTTTCTCTACACACCTGAAGCCAGCATCTGGCCTCCACGCGCAGTGCAGCCCCACCTGCTGTTGCCCGGGGCTCAGGGGACACAACAGCTCAGTTAGAATGACTCAAAAGCAAACGAGAGGTACACCCGAAACCGAATCATTGCGTTTCCTCTGCCGGGGGACGTGCCGTGATGCTTTAGCAAAGTGCATCGCAGTCCCAGCGGGAGCCACGCTGAAAAGCGGCCACGCGTACTGTGATCCAGGACCACAGAAGAAGAAACATGGGCCTGCTTCTCTTTTTGCGAATCAAAAAATGACTAAAAATGAATTCAGTGCACATTATTTTGAACAAAATCGACTGGTTTATTACTCGCGTGGCCTAAAGTATCCACTAGATGGAGACAATGCACCTTGTATAATGTGTGTGTGTGTGTGTGTGTGTGTCAGCTGAGCTGTACTGCAGTGTGCTGTCAGGCTAAAGGGTTCATATTTGTCCCACAGTAATCATAAAACATGCCTAACTATCCTCGGCTGAAATAAAGCCCTGTTTTATTAGACTGTGTGCAAACCTCTCTCCTTCAATAAAGTTCCTTTACAAAGGATGACAACGCCATTGCATCACACTCAGTGTGTGTGTGTGATTACGTCAGCCTACAGCCTCAAACTATTGCTCCAAATCCTTGTCTGTTACTCTTATCAGCAGTTATATCCTCAACAATTTCAATGCAATTGAATTACTTTGTGCCATAAACTCTAGCACATCCAAAGTTTTGCACAATTAATGCAAAGTAGTTATTGTGTCAGTAATATATTAAAATAAGTGAAGACATCTCTTGATAGAACGATACAGTTGCTGCAGAAGGTGGAATAAATGAAGAACAGCGGTCTTGCCCGTAGGGCAGGAAGCTCGAAGCAGGAATCTTCTCTTGACATCAAGCATCCCAGGCAGGTCGGTAGGATTCTCACACATGAAAGGAAAGAGAGGAGTGTTTGAGGAAAGGGTTTGCACTTCTCCTCCGTCCCTCTCTCGCTCTCGCTCTCTCTCTCGTGCTCTGCTCACAGGAGGGATTTGCCCTATCTTCCTTGGCTTAGCACACCATTGTGGAAGCAGTGGGAGGATGGAGAGATGCAGGGGGAGAGAGAGGGAGAGAGAGGATGAAAGGGAAACAGATGCAGCCTTTAAACTGATGTTCTTCTTATCGTGATACGATACAGGACACGTTCAGTGACTCAGCCATCAAAGAACTGCTTGGAAACAATTATATCTTCTGCTTCAAATGTGTGTGTGTGAATTTGTGTGTGTGTGATGTCTAGATGGCAACTGGCGTGTTTAAAGGGGAACATACCACTGTGTTGCTGTGTTTCTGTGTGGAGGCCCATTTTTTAGATTACGCACATGACGAATACAAAAAAAAGGTCAAACAGGGAATAAAATGTACGACAGAGACGTAACTAATTACCTTGAAAAAGAGAGAAATGTTTGAATCTATTCGATTGTGATGTCAGAACGTTAAATGGAGTTTAGTGATTCTACTTTAAATAATGAAATCATTGCTCATGGGTTTGGCTCACGTGTGCCAACAAGTACATTTGCACACTGTCACGGTGACCACTCGACCTCAGCAAACCTCATGAGAACATCTTCTCAAACTTCAAGGCGCATCCACGACGCCGCGCTGCGAGCAGGAACCGCTGCCATGTTGGAAGAGCCGACGCGAGGGAGAAAATACACCAAACTGATGACCGACTCCTTCGTCCCCCCTTCATTCTTCATCCCTCCTCCTCCCCCCTCTTCTCCATTCCCCCTTATCGTGACGTCCCACTCGGCTGATCGTCCCTCCTCTTCAGGCCCCCGGACCCTCCGTCTCCACCTGACGCTCGCTCCTTCTTGTCTTTCTGCTCGAGCAGCGTTCAAAGCTCCGAGGCGTGGTTTTTTCCCCTCACTGCAGATGCCCACAGTGTTATTCCACTCGAGGCAACCACACACACACACACACACACACACACGTTGCTCTCTCTGCCCGGGACGATGATTTCAGAGCCCTTCTCTCAGTTTGTCCTCCTCACAGGGCAGAAGTGGCTCTTGTCCCCAAAAACTTCTCATCCCGGTCACATGATCGAACGTTTCAAGATCAGACTGCGCGACAATCATCGCCAACAGACGGACCTCCCGTGATGCAGGAAAAGCTCTTCAGACCAACGGAACACACACATGTAAACGGGTTGGAGGTTGTGAGAGGAAAACGACCTCCACAGCGGGCGAACGCCGTGGCAGCAACCTGTCAATCACGACGGAGTCCCTCCCTAAATCGCCCTCTGCTTTATGGTCTCACTCCAAATGGGCCGTGATTTACTAAATGGCCATCACGATGTACTGAAGTAGACTTAAAACTAGAGATTGAGACCATAAACTGGTGTTTACAACGTTCACGGAGGGAATAAATCGTAGAATCGTTTTCTCACGGACTTCTTTACAGACAAGTGGCCATTAGAGAGAATACAAGTTCCACTTTGCAGACCTGACTGCTGTGTGTAAATGTGATACTGATAAGGTCGCGTCCTAAGATGCTCCGCAATGTGATGTGTAATGTCATGTGATTAATTCATGTAATATGTTTAACTCCCAAAACATTTACGGCGGTATACATTTCTTGTAATTGAAATTGACAGATGGGTAAATAGATAAAGATAATTAGGACATCAAAGCCGGCTGCAACTCTCCCTCAGAGCCTCATTCAGTGACAAACAGCTGTTCCAGCAACATCCAACTGGGACGCGCGCACACACACACACACACACACACACACACACACACACACACACACACACACACACACACTGTGTTGGTGGGTAACTCCAGGAGCTCCCTTTGAAGCTTAAATTAGAGCTCATCTTGTATTGAACTCCATGGAACGTAAACGTTGTTTCGTGTCCCCAGTAAACTATTAACTGACCTTCAGCATCAGAGCGAATCTTCTTCACCAATTCCTGTTTTACTTTTCGAGCCCATGGAGGTGAGACATTCCTCTCTGGCACAGATCATGGGGCGTGGGCCCCCTGCTGGGAAACGCTCAGTGTCTTTTCATGGGCTATTAGCATAAGGGGCCATTTTCTCTCATTGGGCCCATGGAGCTGAAGAAAGCAATTAGCACAGCGCCCCACTGCTGGATGGGAGCGAGCGGGTCAAAACACAAGAAAGAACGTGTGAGCGGATCAGGGCGAGCGGAGGGGAAAAAAGGAAACGTTGGCGACGGCCACACTGTCTCTATGCGGCAGAGGAGGCGCAGCGACAAAACGGGACGTATAAAGTCATTTAGGAGGAACAAAAGCAGAGTGGCAGCCAATCACGGCGAGGCCCGAGACTCTCCCGTCATCCCGCCTAATCTCTATGACGACGCCGCCGAGCTCCATCGCTGACGTCGCCGCCATGAATATTCAGCGGATGAGTGTGTGAGCTCTCTATCTCACACACACACACACACACACACCATACATGGTCTCGCTGTTGCAAAGAAATCAGAAAAACACTAATTAGACACGCACACAGCAACGGCGAATGTGGGCAGAATACAAACAGGCCGGAGCTAACACACACACACACACACACGGA